TCGAATTTAGGGCCTTTTTTTGTCACAGCGTCACGCGCCGAAAAACGCTTCTAAAAGTTTGAGTCCTTAACCACATACTTTCATTTTTATACCAAAAGTAGAGTATGGCGAGCTGCGTCGAACGGCGTAAGAACGACGGTTCTGGCTTATACACTTTTTGAGAAAAGCTTAAATTACTGTGTCAAAAATGTCACAGCGTCACGCTTGAACAAGCCGTGTACTATGTTTTCTTGATAATGAAAACTGTATTGTCATACTTCATGAGAGCCTAGAGGGAAATGGTGAATGTTAATATGCAGGCTTTTTAAAGGTTTTCTTAAGAACCTACTTAAAACTACCGACAAAAAAACTAATTATCATGAAACTAGTATATATTCTGATAAAAACATGATAGTCTTTCTAACCGTATGCACATCGCAAATGTCAAGTTTCAATGGAAGTTTTCGATTTTACGACAAAGAGTGCCTTAGGCGCATTTTTAGAGTCAGTAAATTCTGTGTTTCAGAAGCTAAACCATTGGCTCTCAACAACTGAATTCTACTTCATAGCCGTTTCTTAGCAGAAGTAAGCGAGTTTCGAGAGCTGGTGGGTCGAACGTACCTCGGCGGCGATGGCGGCAGTTCATGTATAACGCTGTTGTCTTTGTTGGAAAGTTGGAAATAACGTTGAGCATCCGGTGCACCAAAAACACCTAGCTCCCCAAAGCGAAAACTCACTTTTAGTTCCGGTTTTAAAATATGTTTTTAGACGGACAAAAGGGTAGAAAAACTCATTTTTTTATAGTGAAGAAGAGAAAAATGCTAAGAATTCCGAAACCGGCAAAAAACGGGTCAATCACCGACAGATTTGAAAATCTTTCTAGATCGGCAAAAGACCGCTGGAGATTGGTGTTTGCAACTCTGCTAAATAGTATAACTGATTAATACACAGTAGACAATTTTCACTAGGCACATGGTCTTTTGGCATGCGAGCTAGAAGAAAACTTAAAAGCGCGTTTTTTATAGGTTATTGATGATTCTCTATCTAGTGGAATGCTTTTCAAATTCTAAAAGAGTTTTCTAAGTGGTTTAACAGAGATCCGGTCTCTAAAAAAACACTTAGAAAACCTTTAAAAAACTCAAAAACAATTGCATTGAATAGAGAATCATCGATAACCTATAGAAATAGTGTAGACGATTTCATCTGGTGATAAGTTCAAATTTTAAAATTTCAGTCAAAATCCCTATACGCACATGCATGAAACAAAGGAGTCAACTAAATTCAAAAGTTTTCCTGTAAACTCGGCTGAATTATACACCATTCGACACAGTTGTTTGCGCTAATTCCAAATATATTATTTGTTTTTAATTTCAATCTTCAAAAAAAATTCTAAAGGCAAAGTGAAAGAGCGTGTGCTAAAATATATGATCTGCTATTAAAATCCTAAAAAATATCACTTTGATTTTTTCACCTAAATATGACCTAAATGACCTTTTATTGTTTATCAACTCATAAAGTGCGAAAACGATTCTATTTTGTTTAACTGGGGCAAAGCCAATTTTGGTAAGCGAAAGTATAGTTTGCCTCAAGCAGTCTCAATTGATTTTCCTTTTTTCACCTGCTAAAGCAGGGTTCTCAAATGTCTCCTATGAGGGAGAGTCCCCATTCGACCATTTTGTCCCCCATTAAATAAATCTCCCATGGGGGACATATTTTGTCCCGCACTGGCAATTTTTTTGAAGTCATACTACTTCTGCGTCATATTTGAGAGAGGAAAATATTAGTAAGTTATTACATAATATGCAAATATTTATGCCCTCTTTAGCGTATCTTGTCCTAAAGATCATTATCATATAGGTGTCTGGATAGTTTGTAGCAAATAGAATTATTCTGAGATTCGAGCCGTCCCCAAAAACACCACTCTTCCTGTCGTGCGCATCTAAGGGTTTACCAGGTGTATGATTTGAATTTGTCGATAAAATCTAATTGTAAGGAATCTATTGTTTGAAATTCGAAAAATTAGCTTTGAAAGGATGAACTCTAAATTAGAACTATAAGAAGAAACGACCGTGTAATTCTAACGATAAATGGTTAAAAAATTCACAATATTGATTTTAATTTATTTGCAATATGTGACTTTAGTTGGGGGTCGGGTATTTTAGACTGACATGACGTTATTTCGTTAAAATAAGCGTCCCCATTTTGTCCCCCATTCAGAACTTTCTGTCCCACATTCCAAAAAAATAATTATAGACCCCTGTGCTAAAGGTTCATCAACAACTGAAAAAAACTGATAATTACCTCAGAATCGTACTCCCTGCAAGAAGTGACTATCTTATTTTCGAACCATGCTGAACAATTCCATTGCTTGCAAAAAATTAGGTAATAGAACAACCGCTGCGAGGACGTGAAATACCGCAGGTTCTCTCCCGTTTTATCGTTAATGGGTAATAAAACATACACGTTGCGAAGGAAATAACTTAGAGGACAAACTTCTTTACATCTCTGTCTTCATCATGTAAAATACAGGCTGATAGATCTTTTGTTTTGAGCACAATTTGTGATATTTAATGAAGAATATGGTCACTTTCTTTCACTACGTACTAAAAGAAAAAAAAGTAAGTTATTTTAGCTAATTGGTTTACTGAAGAGGCCACGATTATATTTTCTGGAACATTTTCGAAATCGATTCGGAAACCTTTTTTGAGGGTTTTTGAGAAAAATTGAACGAAACAGGGGCCTCAGAAGCAAAAAGGGTTTATTGGTGGTCGATAACTCTTTTCTCGGAAATGGATAAGCGTTTCATATAGTTTTATTTCCGGAAACTCGTTAGAGATTTCCGAGAATATGTTTCTTTTATAGAGCGTGGAGAAGAACCGTGAAACTTTTGAATTTTCCATTTATCTTGCAAACGCTTGGTATGCCCCCAGTCCTGGGAGATTTTTACGAAAGTGGGCTGTATTTTGGGTTTTTTTAGGCATTTCTAGTAAGTGATAAAGTTACGACATTAAGTCCCAGTGTATTCATAAAATGGAAGGATGGCATCCCAGTTTTGATCGTTAAATGGCGACATATTAGTGATCGCCTCGTCGATAGATATGTCATAAACATTGATAATGTGGATATTAAACATGTATGTACAGTATCCCTATACACTACATACCTTGAAAGTTGGGCACTATTCTACTTTGTATTATTTTTGTAGATTCCTAGAAAAAAATTTGGTAAATTATTTCTAATTACATTATGTGAACCAGAAAAAGAAAAACCGTATATAATAGAAGTTGTGGTACAATCAGCCGGTAACAGGATCAAGTGTGATATCAGTGACTAAAATTGCTTTCTTATGCCTATGAATTTTTATTTAGACAACAACGAAATTTTTCGATCAGACACAATAAAAGTTATTGTACCAGATAAACCGCCGTCACAATCATTTCAGCAAGGTCAGCAAATTAGTGGTAAATCTGCAATAACTGAATGTATCAATATTATGGAAGAAGAGCCACCGTTCTATGTACTCCAAGATGGTACGTTACTAAATATCACAGGATAAAATTGTAATTTTTGTGGGACTCCTCTCTCTGTATAATACCGTAGTGTTAGAGGCGTCTCAGTTTATAGACGTGCAAAGATGTCATAAGTCAGCCTTGCTTGCATCATCTGCAAAGATAACATAAAAATGTCCTAAAAAGGCGATATAAACCAAAGTTCCGCGGAAGACTTTCATACTTAGGCTTTTAGGTGTACGCTGGTAAGCTATTTTATCTTTAGACGAGATTATGCTAGGAGATATTCCTAAACAACAGCGGCAAAAGAAAAATCCAAAACAAATAGAAGTATATTATCTGACAAACATTACAAAATATCGCGCACTTATATTATATCAACAATTAGTGACAGCTACATCGAACAAAAAGACTTCAACAGATGAAATGCGTATTCGTAATTGTGAACTTTCACCGCATCAGAACTACCCAGGTATAGACCATTACCTGAGGCCATCCGTCAAAAAATTATCACTGAATAATAATTGACATGTTTACACACTTTCACAACGCGAACAAAAATGATAATAGTTCTGACCGATGCATTTCTTTGTACTATTTTGTGAAGAAAGCAGTAAAAATAAACAAAAATGAATAAATCGTAACTAATTAGTATGTATTCATAAACACGCGTATATGGGTCATTACTCGTTGAATACATAGCTCAATTTCCCTTCAAACTCTTCTTAAAACTATAGGCATTAGTAGGTGAAAGTAAAAGCCTGTTTTGTTTATGCTTTTGAAATTTACACGAATGAGAAAAAAATCACATAAGTTTTTTGATCGCTAAATTTGTAAAAATTGATGAAAATCAGCCGATTGACAAGTTTAATAGACTCCGATCGGATAGATCGTTTTGTAAGAAAACAATAGCATCAACATAAATCAGTACAGGATATACGATGCAGCATTGATTTTTACCGATGTGGCATTGTTTTCGAGAATAAAACTGTGACACCCGTGCACATCGATATTTGTCGATGCACATGAAATGCAATGTGCATTCCCAGTACCACAACTTTTTTTCAGATGCAGCATCAAAAGTTTTTTTCTACGATGAATACTGAAAAGCTTCAGCCGGACCATATTAATTTTTGTTATTTTTATTCGATGAAAAAATAACAAAAATTAATCGCAAACATGAATAAACATCAAGTTACCGAGCAGTCAGCGAAATTCCAAATAAACATAAGAACATAGACGAATCACGTAATAAACGTAGGGTGCACCACAGGATAGAGACTTCTACTTCGCAGTAAGGTCCATGTACAGTAAGGAAATATCTTCTTCCCTGCGATAAAGGATTAAAGCTGCAAACTTTCATCGAATATTCACGAATAAATGATTTAGGAATTAGCGGATCGAAAGGATGGAACAGGTGCACAGTGGGCAATCATGTAACAGAAAAACTGAAAGTAAGCTTTTTCGAGATTTGAATAGTGTCAAATATACTTTGATTAACAGCCGATTTTATGGCTGAAAAATTTTTGTTCCAACTTTTAAGTTCGTCGAAAAAACTTGTGTGCAAAAGTAGATCAAATTTCAGCAACTTTGGGGAAAATGGCTTCTGTTGTAGTATGAAGAAAGAGATGATGAATGAATCGTAATTATTCTGAAACCAGAGCTAGTGCTCTATCGATTCGTAAAAACAATTTTCGTGTTATTGCGATCTGGTCGGAAAAAAGAATCTTTCCTTCTATGCTAAGGGTTTTCCGAGGAGCTGTATCCGATAAACTTAGTGCCTCAATCACATCCAGCTTTCAAATATGTTCAAACCTGAGCAAAATACTCTTCTACTTATCGTACATCTACACAGTTAGCTTAAAGATGCGTAAACGTTCGTGGACTGAGTTGGAGTTCCGGAATCTCACCAAATAAGACTTTCGCCAATAGGACATTCACCAATGACGAATGTCCACTGTACTTTCGCCAGTCTGACTGTGATTTAGACGTGGATTAGAAAAATCACATGTGTGTGCGCGAGATCTTTTAGTATTATACTGACTGTGGTACAGTTTTTCGTCTCTCTATTTTCATTTTCTTTTTCGTCTATTTTATCACTATTATTCTAGTGATAAAATAGACGAAAAGACGAAACAAGACGAAATCTTGTTGGCGAACCTGTTTGTCGTGGAAGGAAAGGAAAGAAAAACAAGAATAATGTTTCAAAATCAGATTCATCAGGTGCATCGACAGATGAACATTAGGTTACGCTTTATTTGTCTTTTTCTTCATATTAATCTCGCTTTTTTCTCATT